TAATAACAAATAACAAAATAATAACAAAAGCAATCCTTAGCAGTAATAGCAGTGTTGGAGGAATATCAATACCAAACTTTGAACCCTATTACAAAGCTGTAGTAATAAAACCACCTCGGTAATTGCACAAGAATAGGCCCGAGGTCCAATGGAACAGAAGACCCAGAAATGAACCTACAGATCTATAGCCATGTAATATTTGATAATGGAGCCAAAAGTACAGGATGGAAGAAAGACAGCCTCTTAAACAAATGGTGCTGGCAGAATTGGCTATATATATGCATAAAACCGAAGCTAGATCCTTACTTATCACCCTGCACCAGAATCAATTCCAAATGTATCAAAGACCTCAAACTACTGCTAGAAACCATGAAAATATTACAGGAAAGGATAGGGGAAGCATTAGCACTCCTAGGCACAGATGGAAATTTCCTAAGTAAAAACTAGATTCACAATGAATCAAAGAAAGAGTGGATGGAATTTTAGGTAAAAGCTACTTTTGTTTAGTACTGAAATAATATGATTGCCTTATCCCTGAACTAATTATTTTTGTTAAACTCATCTACAAGTTTTATTGATAGTTTTACATTTTCTGCTGGTGGTATTTAGCAGTTTTATGACTGGCACAGTGAGGTTCTTTTTGCATTAAAGTTAGACATCCAGAAACAATGGATTGATATCATTTGGTATAGTCATTATCTTTTGTTTTTGACCCATGAAGGGCAAAAGCATGTGTTTTTACACATGAAGACAGATCCCACCTTATGTTTCTTCCATTCTCACTAGTGTTTTTCATCTGCACAGTCTTCATTTATATTTTCTCCTGATCTGCCTTTTAGTTTACTAATCCCTTCTTCAACTGTGTCTGTGATGTAATACACCTATGGAACACTTATTAAATCCTTAAGATAGAGAGACAGGTATATAGACAGGTACATACATACACATCTACATTCATACATACATACATACATTTAGAGACCTCTGTGTGTGTGTGTGTGTGTGTGTGTGTGTGTGTGTGTGTGTGTTTCTACAATTATCATCTGGCTTTATAGTTTTCTGTTCTCTTGTAAACTCACTTGACATAAATATTCTTCAAGTTGGCTCCAATTTCTTAAACATATTGACCATTATTTTAAAGTATTTCTACAATTTCTAAATCTCTGATGTGTGTCTATATGTTAATTCTCTTAGTTTTTAGTGACTTGTTCTTTTTTTTCTTTTTTAAATTTATTGTGTAAATACAATACAGAGAGGTTACAATTACATGAGCAAGGTAATGAATATATTTCTTATCAAGCATTGTTGCTTCCTCCTTTGTTTACCCTTCCCATCCCTTCCCCATCTCTACCGCCTTCACCCTCCATGCACACCAAAGTTGTAAAGTTCATCTTTCCACATAATGTCTTGTACAATCTCATTGTTGCAATGGGTCTATACCAACATTAAATACAGTGAAAACAGGGGTTATACTGTGGGGGAGGGACATACAAAGCAACAAAGAAATCATCTTATAAATATGTTAGAAACAATCACACGAAAGAAAAACCATTTGAGTCCTTATCTTGGGGTTCATTTTTGTCTAACAACAACTTATCTGACCATTTCTGCTTGTCTCAGACATATACTAGTTATTGCAAATAAGGGAAACCATGGGGCCTATGTCTCTTTGGGCCTGGCTTACTTTACTTCATATAATTTTTTCCAAGTTTTTCCATTTCCTAACAAATGGGGCAATGTCATTCTTTCTGATAGAGGCATAGAATTCCATTGTGTGTATACCACATTTTCTTGATCCATTCATCTACTGAGGGGCATCTGGGTTGGTTCCATATCTTAGCTATGGTAAATAATGCTACAATAAACATAGTTGTGCTGGTAGCTTTAGTATAGTCTTGCTCATGGTCATTCGGGTAAATGCCCAAAAGTGGGATTGCTGGGTCATAGGGGAACTCTATGTGGAGTCTTTTGAGGAACCTCCATACTGCTTTCCAAAGTGGTTGAACAAGTTTACACTCCCACCAACAATGCAGCAAGATTCCTTTCTGTCAACATCCCCTCCAGCATCTGTTGTTATTAGAGTTCTTGATTACAGCCATTCTAACTGGGGTGAGGTGGAATCTCAATGTTGTTTTAATTCACATTCCTTTTATGGCTAGGGAGGTTGAACATTTCTTCATGTGTCTATTGGCCATCCTTCTTTCCTCTTCAGAGAAGTTTCTCTTTAAGTCTTTAGCCCACTTATTTATTGGGCAGTTGCTTCTTTGAGGATTTGTTTTTGGGGGATTTACTTTTTTGAGTTCCAGGTATATTTTAGATATGAGACCCTTGTCCATTGTATGGCTAGTGAAGATCTTCCCCCAATCCATGGGCTTTCTATTGATCTTTCTAGCTATGTCCTTTGCCATGCAGAAGCTCTGCAGCTTCATGCAATCCCATTTGTCCAACCTTTCTTTGATTTGTTGTGTTTCTGGGTCTCCAGGTACACTGTGCTTGAGAAATCTATGAGGAAAACTTGAGATTCTAAATGGCTTTAATATTCTAGAGAGGATTTATGTTTTTCTGATGGAGTAAAATACATCAGAGAACCATAATGCAAACATGATTTTTGTAAATTAAGGTGTGATTTTTAAAAAATTATCATTTTTGCCACTAGGGTATATCCCTTTAGGAACCACCACACTAAATCTAAGGTACTTATCAGGCTACCTCTTCCTTGGTGGATTCCGACCTCTTAAATTTTTCTATCCATTTACCCTCAAAGACATCCAAAAGTTCTGTTCAACTACTTGGCACATGTGGAATGTCAGTCATTTTGCACTTCAAGTTTTGCTGGTTTTATCCAGTAGGCATTGTAATGGTGGAAAAAGAATTACTTGTCATATTTTTATATTTCCAAGAGAGATAAGGGGTGTCTTGGATAGCCACCAAAACCCCAGAACTTCCTCTATCCTCTTCTTTTTTTGTCAGTTATGGGGCTTGAACTCAGGGCCTGGGTGCTTTTCCTGAGCCTCTTTGTGCTCAAGGCTAGTGTTCTAACACTTGGGCCACAGTGGTTAATTGGAGATTAGAGTCTCACTTTTCTGCCCAGGCTGGCTTCTAATCAGTCTTTAGATCTGTCTCCTGAGTAGCTAGGATTACAGATGTGAGCCATCAGCAGCTGGCTTATCCTTTTCTTTTAATTGGGGCAATTTCAGGCTTAAAGATCAAGGACACATTCCAAAAGACAAAGAACAGAGTATCAGGGTACAGTAAAGATTAGAAACATTATAGAGCAAACCTTCATCTTGTCATTAGACAGGGTCACTGTGCAATGTCAAGCACTCAAAATCCTGTTTACATAGGACAAGGCAAACAAACGCCATTAATTTTCTGCTATCATCAGGCTTTCTCTGCATATGCCATCCACTCATATCTCTTGTACCCACTCATAGTTCCCAGGGGCTTTTGGGTCCCCATAAAGTTTATGCTGCAGTAATGGTTTTTCAGTGCCATAAAATAACTCCTTTTAATAATCTAACTAGTGTTTCTGGCTGTTCTTCATAGGAGGGTTATTCTGATTGATGACAGTTAACCTTAGACAGAAATACCTTTCTCAATGTAATGTTAATTTGCATTTCTTTCATAATTGTCAAAGGGAATCATGTTTTCCATATGTACAAGCAATTATTTCTTTTATGAACTATCTGTCAAGTCTTTTGCATATTTTTCCATTACATTTTTGACCTCCATTTCTATTTTTGGAAGCTCTTTATATAATGACATTATCTATATTAACATGCAAATATTTTTGTTCAGTCTGTAACATTTAAAAAATATTTCTCAAGGTATTTTTCCATCCAAAAACTTACTGTGTTATTTCTGTCATCTTCTCTTATCTCTTCGGTGTTATTCTACATTGCTGCCACCCAAGCACATGTTTTTGTCTCAATTCTCTTTAGCCAATCAGTGCAAAAGCTAGTATAGCATCTCCACTTACACCATTCTGTACTTTAGTCCTGGCTTCTTCAATCTTTTTGCACTCTGCTTCTATTTTATGCCTTCAGCTTCTGACCTCTCTACCATTCATCCACCCAATCTAAAGGCTGAGTCACCTCTCCATCATTGCACAGATCTCTTCCTTTGAGAAATCACATGCTGGATCTTTCCCATCTTCCCTTATGGGCACACCAGGTTTAACATACTCTCCATTCAGAAGAAAAAAATTGAATAATACCATCCCTAGCATTTTACCTGCATTGCCAATGTCTTTGTTCATCAAGTTAGGAAAATATAAAGAAATGTAACTAAGAAGTCGATTTGTAGTCATTTGGACATCTAGAAAGTAAATCACAATATGAACAACAATCTCCTTGTTATTATATGTAAGCACATTAGACAGCTTCAACCACCAGGAGTGGATGACCTTCCTGCAGCTGAACATATACAGAATTGGTCTCAATAGATTTTAAGGATGTTAAGATCGGAGTCAATACTTAGGAATCCAGAGCAACAGCATTTAAGAAGATATGGAGGCAACTAAGTCATTCATGTGTGCTTAAACAATAACAGGCAAACACGTAGGTAGATGAATAAATCTTTCAGCTATTAGGCATGCCTGAGGCAAAATCAGTTCCCCCCGCCCTTCCACACACACACCCAGTGGTCTGGGTCTTTCTCTTTCACACATACTTTTTCCTTAATCTTTCCTTTAAATTTAAATTGTACATTGTGCTGATTAAACTACATTTTCTTTCTCCTCTGTTACCAGGTTTCTAATTTGAGAAATTGTGCATATATGTATCTAATTATCTCACAAATTAAAAGAGTACTTCGAAGACAGCTCTAAAGAATTCAAGCAACTCAACCCACTGTTTCCTCCTTTAACTTTCACTGCATGAAAAGTTGAGTCCCAGGAGTATTTTTAAATTGAAGAGGGCAATGGAGGGTGACAGAACAATTGGCAGTCAGGCTGTTATAATTCTCTATTAATCAGGGATTTTCTTCTTTTCCTCTTTCAGCTGAAGGCGAGGACATACCTGCTATGTCTGTGAAAAGCCAAGACTCCAGTGACACAGAAAATGCCACAGGTCCTGAAGGTAAGTTTCTGAGCTACCTGTGCTCAAACTATAAATCTGGTGTCTTTCCTGTATATAATGTAGGATTAGGAGAACAATCTGTTTCAGGAGCAAACATGTTTAGTTAGAACAAAGTAAATTTCAAAAGGAAAATTCAACTAAGAAATATGAAAAATGGCAGTCTCTCCTTTTTATTTTATTTAAACACTAGCTGCTGTTCATTTCTTTTTTTAATAGCCTGTGCCTTGGTTTAAATATATCTCATGGTACTAAAGGCAAAATGAGTAATTCCAAGACTAAGCTAGGGTCTACCTGGGGAGCTTCACGAAATATCCCTTACTTCCGAAGGAGGTATTTGCCTATCCGGAGCATTTAGATGGAGTTCTAGCTTGAATTTGGGATGAGCTTTTTCTTATGCTTCCATTGTTCACCTTCACACATGACATCAGATATCTTGGCCAAAGATATAGTGACTCGTTAAGAGTGTCTCACAATAATTTGACAGAAAAAAAAAACTTTCTTTTTTTCTTTTTTGTCGGTCATGGGGCTTGAACTCTGGGCCTGGGCGCTGTCCCTCAGCTCTTTAGATCAAGGCGAGTGCTCTACCACTTGAGCTACAGCACCACTTCCAGTTTTCTGGGGTCTTATTGGAGATAAGAGTTTCATGGACTTTCCTGCCTGGGCTGGCTTTAAACTGTGATCCTCAGATCTCAGTCTCCTGAGTAGTTAGGATTACAGGCGTGAGCCACCAGTGCCAGTGCCTGGCAACTTTCTTACATTATTATCTACTATCAAAGGCACCTAAAGATCCCAAGCCTTGGGTATATGACTATCTCCTTGCCCTACAGAGCCGTAATGAGCACCTTTTGAAATAGCATTACTTTCATTAAAAAAGAGAGAATATTTCTGCAGACACGATTTTTATTTCATTCCATTGGGCCATATAACTAAGAAAACAGCCTTAAGTAATCAACTGTTGTAGTGTGTGTGTATACACATACATACATGTGTGTGCATGTACACGCATACATGTGGATCCTGGAGCTTGAATTTAAGGCCTAGGTGCTGTCTCTGAGCTTTTATGTTCAAGGCTGGCACAATACCACTTGAGCCACAGCTCCACTTCTGGCTTTTTGGTGGATAATTGGAGGTAAAAGCCTCATGGACTTTCCTGCACAGGCTGGCTTCCAACCTCTATCCTCAGATCTCAGCCTCTTAAGTAACTAAGATTCAGATGTGAGCCACTGACGCTTGGCTTTGTTGATGTATTTTCTTTTTTTAGTTACTTTATTTTTTTATTTTCAATTGGTACATAAAAATACAAATGTTTGAGGAATCATGTTTCAATACACATATATCTTATATAACGTCTAAATCACGTTAAATATACTCATCTCAAATATCTTGTCATTTCTTCCTGGCAAAAAACTTTCAATTTCCATTGTTCTAGCTTTCAGAAATATATAATACATTATTGTTATCAACAGGTAACCTATTATGCAACAGCCTGCCAGAACTGCTTCCATCTTTCTGCAACTTGGTATCACTAATCAGCATCTCCCTCTCCCTGCCCAACCCCACAGACTCATCTCTGCTCAGTACCATCCATGTTTAATATATTTTTTCCAATATTGTCATTATCTTTAGGTTGTTATGGAAGGAGTTGCTATTCAATAAAGCAGTTTATGAATAGTACATCCTGATCCATGTTACCCATTCAACATTCTCGCCCACCTCTCCCCTTGCTTTTCATTTTTAGGGTATCTGCTGACTTTGTTTTTTGCCATTTAACATACAAGTTTATGTATACATAAACTTGATCTGTGCCATGCTTTCAACATCTTTATACCCTCTTTCTTTTTTAAAATTTAATTTTATTGTCAGGATGATGTACGGAGGGGTTACAGTTATATACGTAAGGTAGTGATTATATTTCTTGTCAAACATTGTTACCCCCTCCTTCATTTTCTCCTACTTTCCCTCTCCCCCAATGCCTCCCAAGTTGTAAAGTTCATTTCCAACATATTGTCTTGTGAGTATGGCTGTTGCATTGGTTCACCCTTTGATCTTCATCCTCTTTCGATGTACTTCTTCTTTTATATATCTCAATTCTGTGGCATATACACAATTTTCTATCAGATCAAAATTTTTTTAGATTATACAAAGAAGTAAAACCATGCATTGTCTTTTTGTGCCTGGCTTAGTTCTATTAACCTAATGGTTTCTACTCCATACATGTTATTACAAATGACAGAAATCACCCTTTGAAAGAGCAGAATAATAATTCCATGGCATCTATGTACATTCCTTTATTCATTCATAAGCTAAGAGACCCATGTGTTTTTCTATTTCTTGGCTACTTTACTACCATGAGTAGAAACATGAAATTGTGTCCTCAGCATAGTAATTTCATTTGCTTGGTATATGTACCATGAGTAGACTGCCAGGACAAAAGCTATACACTCGCAACAGTGTTCAGGTTCCATTTTCTCCACATCCTTGGCAGCATTTGTTGTCTACAGTGTTTATGATAATAGCCATTCTCAAGGACATGATACTTTCTCTTAGTTTGAATTTGTATTTCATTAATGATTAGTGATGTTGAATATTTTTCATGTACCTGTTGTGACCATTTGTTGTCTTCTTTTAAGAAGTGTCTGTTTGGTTTTATGCCCATTTTTAAATTAGATTGTTCCTTGCTATCAAATTTGAATTACTTCTAACCTGGACATCAATCACTTGTCTAATAAATACCTTGCAAATATTTTCTCCCATTCTGTTGATTGTTTGCTTTTCTTTGCAGAGCATTTTGGTTTGGTTTAATCCCATTTGTTTAATTTGAAGCAGGTGCCAGTACTGGGGCTTGAACTAATGGCCTCAGGATCTCACTTGGCTGATTCTATTGAAGGATGGTGCTCTACCACTTGAACCACACTTCCACTTCCAGCCTTTTGCTGGTTGATTGGAAGTAAGAGTCTCAAATCTGTCTGCCCATGTTGAGCTTCAAACCTCCATCTTCAGCCTCCTGAAAAACAAGGATCACAGGCATGAGCCATTGTTGCCCAGCTTGTTTTCTATTTTTGTGGATTTTGTGTCTCTCTAGAGTCCCCCTTTCCCCACACTTTTTTAGTTTTAGAGGGTTTCATTATGCCATTTAACCCATAGGTTACACAAATATAATTTAATATATTTCACTCCCCATTACCCTATCCTATCTTTCCCTTTTAATCTATCTTTACCAAACTGTCCCACATTTCTATTCTTGCCACGTGTGTGTGTGTGTGTGTGTGTGTGTGTGTGTGTGTGTGTGTGTGTGTGCACGCACGCATTTTAGGTCTAGATTTTTCATATAAAGCATGTGATTTTGTCTTTCTGATCCTGGCTTATTTCACTTAAGACAATCTTTACTTCTATCCATTTCCCTTTTTCTTTTTTCACAATAAAAAATTACAATTAATCAAGCCCCACGACTGACAAAAAAAATTACAATGATGGAGTTATACATGTCACGTTGTGAGCATAAGCTTCTTGGCCAATGTTACCCTTTCCTTCACTGTCCACATTTCCCCCCTCCCATCTCTGCCCATAAGTATCATAGTTCATTTTTTACATAGTATATATTGAATATGATGACTACATTTGTTCACCCTTCCTTCCTCCATTCCTGTGTCCACCCATTGCTCCATTTACCTTTAAAAGACATTATTTCATTCTTTATGACTAGAAAATACTACATTATGGATATATGCTACATTTTCTTTACTCATCTGTTGTTGGGGACTTAGGCTGATTCCATAGCTCAGTTATTATGAACAGTGCTACAATAAACATGAGTGTGCAGATGAGTCCATGAAGCCTGATTTATATTTCTTAAAATATAAGCCCAGAAGTTATATAAAAATATAGTAAATCTGTTACTAGCTTTTGAGGACCTCCATACTGATTTCCATAGTAGTTGCACCATAATTATTCTGACCAATAGTGTTTAAGGGTTCCTTTTCCCACATGCTTGCTAGAATTTGTGGTTTGCTGATACCCATTTGACTGGGGTGAGATAGTAATCAGTGGTTTTATTCTATGGCTAGGGATGTTGACCATCCCTGTGTATTTATTAGCCCTTTGTTTTCTTTGACAACGTCCATCCATTCAATTTAATTGGATCATTAGTGCTTTTGGTATTTTGTTTGCTTTGATAGAACTCTTTATATATTCTGGTTATTAATCTCTTTGCTGATAGCTAGGAAATACTTTTGTAGTCTGTCTCTTCCTTGTAGTGATTGTGTTTTTTTATGTGCGTAAGCTTGGGGACCTATTTGCTGGTATCAGAAATGGAATTCAGGGGCCTCATGGTTGTATGGTTGGTGCTGTACCACTTGAGCTCCAACTCTAGCTTGGGTTTTTGTTGTTGATTTTGGAAATTTGTGGATTTTTCTGCTTGAGTTGGCTTTGAACTATGATACTCCACATATCAGCCTCCTGAAGCCAGTGCCTGGTAGAAGCTCTTTAATTCCATGTCTTTTGTTATTCCTGATCTTATTTCTTGAGCTTTGGAGTCTTATCCAGAAAAGTGCTGCCAGATCTTCTATGTTTACTCTGTGTTTTCCTGTAGTAGTTTCAGATGTTCAGGTCTAATACTAGTCTATTTTTTAAAGATTTTACTATATGGTGAGAGATAGATAGGGATCCAGTATTCTAATGTGGATATCTACTTTTCCCAAAGCATTTGCTGAAGAGGCAAAGACAATCAAAACTTAAGTCTGTTTTACTTCCAGTCTACCACCTTACATTGGAGGAGGCATGGTGGAGGCAGTCAGCCATCTAGTCTAATTGTTCCAAGGTTCAGCATGCAGGTATTGAGCATAGTTAAAGTAGGGCTTATTAGGCCTTTCCCACATTGAATTTTACCTCGGCCAGCCCAGTACTGGTTTTTAAGTTCAAAGTCTGTACTTAATTTCTGTCCATACCAAGCAGAAGGATTCTGTTCTCCATGCTGGATTTCTTAGAGTTGGGAGAATGGTGTCATAGGCAACTCTCTCCTTACTGCCTTGTTAGAGTAAAAGCAAGTAATGTGGTTAATCTCTTATCTGATTTCCTCAGTTCTAGTTTGGCTGTTTAATTTTGCAATTGTGAGTATACCATCACCCAAAGATCTTAGCCACCATCTTGCTACACCTGTGTTTGAGAAATTTTTTAAGTTTTTTTTTTTGGCTCCTATCTCTTGTGCCTCTGGGACTCTATTCTATATAATTTCTAATGTCTCTCCTACTCTCTTGCAAGAGTTTTGGGTCTGATGTTGAGGTCTTTAATCCATTTTGAATTGATGTTGATGCATTGTGACAAGCAGGGATCCACTTTTAGTTTTCTGCATATGACTGCCCAGTTTTCCCAATCTCAATTATTGAAGAGGCTGTTTTGTTTTCACTGTATGTCTTTGGCTCCTTTTTTTTAACCAAAGAAGAAAAGTGAATGATTTTGAGTTCATAATATTCTTGGTATAATTAACATGGCAGTTTTAAATAAGTTTCTTATAACACTGCCTTTAATTAATGTATGTACTTTTATACAAACTGACCTTTTACTACCAAGCATACATTTTCCAGTTGAAAATATTTCTAAATGTAAGAACCTTTTGTTAAAAGCTTCACTATATTAGAGGTGTTATAGTCAGGGTTCCATACCATATCTTTACAAAGCAGGCTCTGAGAATTAGAAATTTAGTCTTTACATAGACACCATGCATTGTGGAGGAATACAGGCTCTCAGAAGTCTCAGCAGTAAGAAATTCATTTAATATTACTTTCCTGGAACTTATTTGAGTATGGAATGCTTTTTTATTGTAACATCTATTGAAATGTTTTAGACCATGTCTATTGGTTGTGAGGAGGAACAGAAAAAGTTAAGTATGACTAGATTTCATCCTGTGCACTCCCAAATCAAGGTGTATGCATTTTCAATAGCCTTGGATACCAGGTTGGACACGAGTGATTTTGCTCAACCTTGACAGAACTGTTTCATCTTGCTGATTTTCATGAGGTTTGCTAGGAACTTGTCTATCATTAGAATCAAGGATAGTTTGCAGGTAAGGACAAGAAGAACCACTTGTAAAGCCTTCCTTGCTGAGAGACTTGGATGGGCTGCCATACAATGTCATCCGTACTTTCAAGCATCTTTGAAGTATGAAACCAGGATCTGCTCCCAATTTACTCTAATTGCATTTTCATGTTCAGGAAAAAGATTTAGGTTGTTGGATTATACAAAGACATCAAGATTACCCAAATAAGAATGAACAGAGGTTACCATAGTGAAGGTGTTGGCCATTATTATCAGTTTTATTTGGCAGATTCAAAGACAGCAGGAAAGGAGGAAGGTTCCAAATATACAGAGGTATTTATGTCATATATGAATAATATAAGACTGCTAACATATGTGAATTGATACAAAAGAGAAGATTTGTCTTGTTGGTAGAAGAAATGGAGAGCTGTTACCTAGAAGTGGAGATAGGAATAGGAAATTGATGATCACAGACCAAATCCTACCCATTGCCATTGGTCCTGGCCCCTTTAATCCAATTGTGGTAGAGGTTCGGGGTGGGAGTTCTGTTGTAGCTTATCTGCCATTGTCTTTTTGTATATCTCTCATTTTTCAGTCAGTATGGGCTTGGATGCTTTAAATACAATCCATCTCATTAAACCGGCTGACCCTTAGAAAATTTCCATAGTGACTACTCAGGACTACTTCTGGAAAAGACAGTAATTATGCATTCTATTTTCATAAAAAATGTTCAGTTAGAATACACAGTTGAGTACATTGTTTTCAATAGCTGTGTGATCTGGTTAGCTGTTTTGTTTTCCTGTTTCATGGTGTCTATTTCCTGTTGCTGTACCCACTGGTTTGCAGGCATTGTTTGGATTCTGAAACTGAAAGCATGGCCAACCAAACAGGTCTTCTGACACTGCCACTCTGGAGAGAGCTGCTTACCTCTCTGCATGCCAATGATCTGTTTTGCTTTGTTTTCTGTCTTTATTTTCTTAGATATCTATTAAGGTTTTGGAGCATATTTATTACCATCCTTACATAAACAAATTCACACTGCCAAGTTTCAACTCTAATATGAAGAGGCAGCTCAGCTCCTGTAATTTCAGAGAAGAGACAATCCTGCTTTGTCCCTGCCTTCACTCATAAGATACATATAAGAATGTTTGGGCACTGGCGGCTCACTCCTGTAATCCTGCCTACTCAACAGGCTGAGATCTGAGGACCATGGTTTGAAGCCAACCTTGATAAAGAAGTCTAAGAGACATTTATTTCCAGTTAACCACAAGAGAAAAAAATAGCCAGAAGTAAAGCTGTGGCTCAATTACTGGACTTGTGCAAAACAAAACCAAGCAAAACAAACAAACAGAACTAAAAGATAGCATCCAGGCCCTGAGTTCAAGCCCCAAGACCAGCAAAACAAAAAAGCTTTCAAACTGAGAAAGGGCATAAGACAGGAAATCAAAACAGTGGCTGCAAATAAGAGACTATTTAAGAGCTAAAGGCTTAATGGTTACTTAGCTTTGTCTGTTTTCCTTTCTAGTTACAGTTGAAATGAATAGTCCAGTTGACAATGTAAATGACCCAACAGAGAGTCAGCAAGAAGATTGCCAATAGGTAAGATGCACCTGTGTTGGGATTTTTCCTTGACTAACCAGTCACAGGAATTGTTTGCAAATAACAGACTTTCTTTGGAAAGTCCCATAAAATGGATTAGACCAAATATTTACTATCTTTAAACCAAATAACATTGCAAGAAGGAAAGAATATTTCCTTTCCTATCTTTCAGGGATAAAAGTAAGACAAGTTATTTCAGGAACCCTGAGCATTGCTTTTGAGCATAAATGTACAGATACAAAGGCATATGAGTATGTATGAACAGAAATAAGCCTATCTTAGGTCCTTAGGACATTCAGTCCTGAGAATATCTCAAGAGTGTCTCCAACAACATTTAACATTTCCACAGAGATTGAAGTACACCTAAAATGGTGAGTGACATATCACCCTTCCCCATGTCTTGAGAGAGCTGTTTAAAAACATAAAACGAATGAAGTCAGGCTCAAATTTTATTAGCTGTTTATAGAATGTCTATAGCATAATGACCTGTGGGTAAGTGAGCATAATATGTCACAATAAAACCTGAGAATATATTAAAGAATTTACTTTTTTACTCTTTCTGATGAGCTTGAATTTCATGTAAAAGTAAATGTAAACTAGGAACCTTATAGTTCATGCCTGTAATCCAAGCTACTCAGGAAGGTGAGATCTGAGGATCTTGGTTCAAAGCCAACCAGGGCAGGAAAGTGCATGGTGCTGCGGCTCAAGTGGTAGAGCACTCACCTTGAGCTGAAGAGCTCAGGGACAGCACCCAGGCCCAAAGTTCAAGCTCCATGACCAACCAAAAAAAAAATCATAGCTGAGTTCAAATTCCAAGTACCTGCCAAAAGAAAAAATAACAGCATTTACATAATACATAGATGACATAGGAATTTATACAAACAAGGTCTTAAACACATTCCCATTTTACTTTGTTCATGTATTTAAAATATTCTGCTAAGCTAGAAAAGTGATATAGTTCAGAAGATTCCATTGAAAAATAATGAAATGAAACTAAACCTGAAACATGCAATTGAGCTCCTCATTTTTGCTCTTTTGTTGTCAACAAGGTATGCGTGTGTGTAAATACACACACATCCACACATAGATATATATGCCTCAAATGAGTGAATTGTCAAAACTTAAAGTTCTAAAGTACTTTAGGAAGAAATAGACAAGATTGCTTGTGTGGCTAAAGTTTAAATAGTCCCAATTCAAGCTTCTTTGATCCCACAAACTGATGAGTTTCAAACACATATTAGCCACTCCAAATCTATGACCTGGAGAAGTTTGCAGATTCACATACTGAGTGAATGGTACAACAAAATGGGAGAAAACAATATTAGTATCACAGAGACTTTGCATAAGTATTTGGCATGTGCATTGTAAGTACAGATTATTTGAAACATACATGATAATGTACAGCTAGGAGATTAGCTATTACTCACACATTGTTAATATGGTTGTTTACATATGCACTTATTTCAGTGTGTACAAATTTGCATATAGGAATGCATATGAGTGTATTTGCTCATATGTATGGTTGTTCATGATTTATGTATATACACATAAATTAGCATGTATTAACATGTATAACAAATTTATTTTCATATGTGTATGCACTTTTATTATATGCATGTATATAATTGCATCTGTGGAAGCATATAGGTAAAAATATTTATTCATGCATACAGGAGCATATATACTCCCTCCTTTCCACTTAAATCCATATATGAAGTGATATATATAAGAGCACATAATGCATATATGTACTTAATAGCACTGCAGAGTCATACACATATGTGGAAATATTTATACACTATATAAATATATACACACAAGCAAGTAATTTATGAAAACATATACAGGTGTATGCCCATATGTATTTATAGATATCCCCAAATATATTTACAAATTATCAGTATGTGCTCAAACATAGGGCAAGTACATGTGCACAGCCATTCATGAAAATTGTATTTTATACATTGCATGTATTTTATGTGTAATATGTACACACATCACTCAGCATACACTATATGCATGCATATTCATACCCACATTGTACACATTCATGTATGATCACATCCTCACGGGTGTATATGCTCACATCTTTATACATATGCTTGTACACATTCCTGGAGACTATTGTGTGACTGGGCTTAAAGAAGCTACACCAAGGGGAGGGTTTTTGAAAGAATGCTTTGGACTGTTGAACTAATCATGCCCATCAGGTGAAAAGCATTGTCAAGGTAGGGTACAGTTAATAGCACAGATTTACACGCTCCTTAAAGATACTACATTGCTGCAGTTACAGCTCAGAAATCCAAAGCACTTCAACCATCACATACAATATCCCTAGGTCTTTCTGAAGGGTAAGATATTTAAATGGCTCTGTTAAAAATATTCCTTGCAAAGACTTACAAGTGACTTAGCTATAATCTAACAAATGGTTTCTCTTTGTCTCTGGCAGGGGCACAAAGATGAAGCAAAGGAACAAACAAAGGAAACGAAATGACAGTCAGCATTGCAGGGCCTGGCCCTGGGGAGTTTGGGAAGATGACAGCACCAGCACGTGCTGCATAGGAGGGTGGGGGTGGGGGAAGGCAAGTCCCAGGGAAGGATGGAAAATCTTTTGCTCTAATTTTTTCAAGCTACATTTTGTTCTATTTACCTGCAGGAAACAAAAAAAAAAAAAGAGGAGGGAATAGTGCTCTGAATTTGGCAGAAGGATCCACATTAAGGCATCTTTCCAGGCACTATCCTTGTCATTTCTGTCTTTCTCTCTCATGCCCTTTGCCCCAGGATCACTGTGCCATCATCTAGTTTAATGATCACATGTGTCTCATGGACCCTTGTCTGCTCTCTTGGTTATTTCACAAAGCTGGTTGTACAGTGGTTTCTTCAAAGGAAGAGAAAGAAGGTGATTGTCGGACAAGCTTCAGGCTCAGTTTTAGGAATCACCAAGCTCAGTATAATCCACAGAGGAGGAAAGGTAGGAAACAGGCACAAACCCCAAAGGACAATAGGGAAAGGATTGGATGAGTAGAAAATAATCAGGGATTCCCATCATCCACTTGTTCTGTTAGTTAAGGAGGATTTAAACTCAGAGGAGAAACAAGCAAAGTAGACCTGGCAGCTAGAGAGTTCACTTACTTGGTTCATGGGCTCTTTGGCATGTGCCTCAGCATGGAGCCCTTGTGTGGGATAGTCTTCTTTATGGATACCCATCAAGGATATACTCAGCTAGTTGTCCTTAAAAGCTGAGAAAGGGAAGCAATGCATTTAGGATGCCAACCTATGCTTATTGGTTTTTGGACATCCCACTTTACATGATTTTCACGAAAGAATGCCTGAAGTGGGATGGCCCTCAAGCAGATTCTGACTTGAAGTTGACAGTTGAGAATTTCTAGTCTGTGTTTACATGGGGGTGGTTGTTCATAGCATGTCCAAGGCTGACTTAATGGCTGCCCTTTCATCTGAAAAACCACTGAGTCATAGCCTCAATGCGGTGCCTCAGTGCGATCAAGATACCAGGGAAAACAGAGGTCCCTAGAGGTTGGGCAACATCACACTGATCTTTTCAAGAGACAATCTAATAATGCATAGTGATTGCTTCCCACAACTTCCCTGTTCTAAAGTCATGTTCTAACAGTTAACATAGCTTACTTACTAGCAGGAATGATGCTTAAGTGACTTCTTTTTATTAGAACATAGAGACTGGGATGTAGCTCATTGACAAAGCACTTGCTAGGCAAGTGCGAGGTGTTGGGTTTGGACCCCAGTACCAAATTTTCTTCCTGCCATTCTATAGTTAAATACAAAAGCATATACATCCTTAATGCCATTATACATTGTGTTCTACAAGAGGAAGCAACGTCTTACTTTAATGATCCAAGAGATTTTCCATCAAAACAGTACATTTTGAAAGCAGCTAGTGTTCTTCTGTGCTTGGCAAATACAAGCTACTAGAAACTTGCTTTCCAGTGGCTCCCCAGGGTAATATCCTCTTACATCAGTGACATTTGAAAACAACACTAGGAAATTTTCTTCTCACAATTTACGAACAGCTGTCCCTGTTAGGAATAGCCAGAACTGGAAATATTCTACTCTGACTGTTCTCCTTGTCATGAAATTGTTGATGTATCTTAAATGTTATGTGTTCAAAACAGGCAAAAGTTCTCCTAAAAGGAAAAAAAATACTCCCTTTATACCCAGGAAACAGAATGAAGAGTAAATATTAGCTCTATTCCTAATTCTATTTAAACTTCATTTTATGATTAGATTGCATGTTCAAATTTTGCTTCATTATGATTTTTTGGTTGCTATTTGGCTATATATGTTAAATAATGAAGTTAGTTTGCATTCCAATCGTGACATATTTTTAAAAAATCTAGCTCTTGGCCAGATTAAAGGTTTCTTCCACATTGAAATTTTTTTTATTTTTTTGCTGGCACTATCATTGCACACAAGCTGCACAATGAAATACATTTGGGAAAGCTGAGTCTCCTGCACATGAATTCTGGATGTCTTTTAATCAGACTGTGAACCATGGAGGAGGTATAGGAAAGGAAGGAAGAAAATGACCCTATCTTAGTCATGTTTGCATACAGAGGATCGAAGGAGACCTTCAATATAATAGTCCTAATTTAAAAGGTATTCACTGTACACAAGACAAAGAGAATTTTCCTCTAATTGGTAACTATTTAGATGATGGGCAAGTCTTCTTTCATAAAAGCTTACCAAAAAAAGAGGCACCAGAAACACGGTCAGCGATTCTGGGCCACATATTAATCATCAACAGCTAACTGTAAATCTTTCTATGAAACACTGAAAAGCCTCTTTGTGAATTAATATGGTTCTGCTTGATGTACTTGAATTGAAAAGACATTTCTCTGTATGTGGTGCATGTCAGCTGTGCTTTGAAAAAATAACAAAGTTAGCATAATATGTTCAATATATTTTCTTGGGGAATTGGGTTTTTATCATATGACTCATTAAGGATTTGCCTTACCCTGACATTTGTGATATAAAGGAAAATCAGAAAAAAAAGTAATTTTCTTGATCAAGATATGTTTTTACTTAATGCAAATAAATGTAGTCTGTTGCTTGCAAGGAAAAAAAATATGTCTTCTGGTATAAACTGCTCAATAGGATAATATGTGCCTCCTTTGTTAAAATGCTGGACTGCTTCAAAATCTGTTTGTTTCTTCTCATCTGTGCCATATACTACGACACTTAAACTGTTGCCTTCAAACTATATTTGTTAGAGCAGAGTGAAAATAAAAAATGTTTGAGAGGATAGATAGTGTGGAATTATCTATTTTCATGAAACTTGTTCTTTAGCACAAGCAATTAATAACTGTTTGATATTATCTAGTTGTATATATTTCTGTTTCAAATTTCTCCTAGAGTCACCTTTAATAATATTCAGTGCTTTGGGCATGTTTTTCAAACTACACTCATCCTATGTTTTAAGTTCTATGTAATTAGCAATTACTTTTGAGTTGTAGACACAAGTTGAGATAGAAACAGGCAGATAACATAAGGCTTCAGGTTGTTAAGTGACAGGCAGAATATAATCTCCAAGTTACTAGAGGTACATAGAGACCTTGCCCCAGGGGTCTGTCCACAAGTTCTGATAAAAGATGTAGATAAAATTAATGGAGTCAGACAAACTTTCATAAAGTCCTGATAACTGGCAGGTTTACCTAGCAAAGCAGATCCCTCACCTACTAGGCATGCATAGGACACAAGGACTATTTGAGGCTATCCAATCTCTATAAGAAGATTCACAAACCTGGACATGAACAGATGCACATCTGCTTCATCAACTTCATTTGTCAACCAACTTAGCCATCAGTTTAAGCCAAGTGAATGCCCAAACTCCACCCAACAGCCAACTCCAAACCATTGTCCAAAGATCAGGAGTTACTAGATAGCATGACCACCATGTGTATCTGCCAGGCTTAGAAAGAAGAAAAGCTACTAGTAGGAACCACCATTTTGAGTCTTTAACCCCTCATTTCCTATATGGAGAACAAGAATGGGTTTTTCCTGTCTTTTCCATCTCTTCCTACTTTACCCAGGTATGCCAAAATAAATCCTTGCTTTAACATTCATCTCGCAAGACTATCGCCTTATTAGAAGACACCCTGAAATTCTTTTCACATGAGGATCTCAACAACCTGTGATGATGCCAGGCAAATAAACAGCAGAATGAAGCCCTTATTAACCCCCCTGACACTTTGGGGGTCACACATCCACGAATATCAATGCTCCTTGAGCATTGTTTCATGAACTGGTCTCTGTGTTGGCTTACTAATCATGCCTGCCATGATCCTCTTCAACCTACTGTTGACAGAATTACACAACTGTTAAAAGTGTGGTGGACCACTAATGTTTTTAATTAATGTCCTTTTGAAAACAGGAAATCTGTATAGATTTCATCAAATTTAATTCCTGAGTTATTGTTCTGGCAATCAAGTCACCTCCTCTATCAAATAAAGCCAGAGATAAAGTAGTTTGAGAATAAGATTTTCTAAACTGATATATAAAAGAAACATTTTTCCAGTAGAAAGCAAGGTTTGATGAGAAGAAAAAAAATGGAGGCAGGACAGCTTTGGACTGCAATGAGCAACCCCAGCACAATGCTTCAGGGTGACAGTGAAGATAATTTGGCACGATTCTAGCACTACTAGATAGAGATTTGTTGTTTTTTTATCCAGACCCAATTTCTCATGTCTTTCCCTGTCACTCTGTTTCTCTTCCAACATTTCTGCCCTTTTATATTTACCCAAGGTTCTATTAGCTGTGGCTGAACGTCACTGGTGACTCAGGCTTGAAATGGATAATGATTCTCATTTTAAAAAGTTCTTCTTGCCAAAAGCCTGACCCAGTTGTAAAAGGCTTCAAGAAAAAAAGAACCTCCATTTTTTTAGTTTGGAAGATAAGTCTATCCATAATCGCAAATACCTGAACTCCTTTAAAAATATAAGGTGCTGAGATTTTAGACATTATCATTTGCAAAAGCTCTTGGTAAATTATTATTAGGTTCTGCTATTTAGTATTGTATTCAAATAACCCTTTCCAAAAATCAAATTGATTTACCTAAAAGGTAAATGCTCCATACAATTAGTAAATAAACATGAAATACTATTCTACTAAAGTTCATGAAAACTTTGTCTCCAAAGTAAGCACTCAGGCAAAGAAAGGTGCTTTTACAGGAATTGAAGACATTGTGTGTATGTCTCTCTCTCTCTCTCTCTCTCTCTCTCTCTCTCTCTGTGTGTGTGTGTGTGTGAGAGAGAGAGAGAGAGAGAGAGAGAGAGAGAGAGAGAGAGTCCTTGGCCTTGAACTCAGAGCTTGGCCATTGTCCCTGAACTTTTCTGCTCAAGGCCAGCTAACTCTCTACACTTGCACCACAGCTATATTTTTGGCTTTTTGATGGTTAATTGGAGATGAGTCTCACTGGCTATCCTGCCTAGTCTGGCTTCAAACTGTGATCATGAGATCTCAGCTTTTTGAACAGCTGGGATTACAGATATGAGCTACCAGTA